ATACTATTCCAAACCATAATCAAGTGACTAATGAGGGAAATGAATGTGTTGCGACAATGTTGTGTGTGTAAAAGACATTCAATTGGTAAGGGTGACTCAACAAGTGCAAATTGTCTCAATCAACATGTATGAGGCCACAATACATCTATTGGTAGAGGAATATATTGTCTAGACATCATGTGAAGAGAACAAAATATCAAATCAAGTCATTGAACCTTTCATTAAGCTCATAGTCCAAGCAATCCATAAGGATGACTTAGTTAAACATGTATTATCTAAACATCATGTGAGAGGCCACAGTTTATCTATTGGGAGAGGAATAAATTGTTTAAACACATGTGAAAGATACAACATATCATAACTAGTCATTAATCCTTCATTAAGCTCACAATCCACATACAACATAATATTAGAGGAATATGCCATTTGGACTCACAAGCATGGAACATCAAACATCAAGAGTAGATTGTCCTCCCATCTAACATTATACTACCACTACACTAAATCTACACTACTAGCATGAAAATAAAGCTATCTAGACTAGGGGAGAGGCACAAGCCATCAAGAATAGGCATAAACCATCAAATGAACCAAAATAGCATTCATTAAGCATATCATCTTGATAATCTCTAGATCTATAGCATCAATACACATAGACATGCATCAAAAACACTAAATCTAGAGATAAGCACATGAATATCCTACTCTAGCATACATAGACATATGGGTAGAATAGAATAGTCAATTGGAAGCATTAAACCATACAAACCATGAAATAATCAAGATTTATATATACATGAATATCAAGATGTATCATACAACACTAATCCCTCAATAATACACAAGATTAGAGTATAGAAAGCATGCTTGGGGCTAACTCTAGCCCCAAGAGGATGTCTAGACACTCATGGTAGTGATGATCCAACCCTCAAGGGCTAACTCCATGGCTGCTCCTTGTTGGTGAAGATCTCCTCCAATGGTGCTCTAGCTTCCCTCCTTCCTCCTCTCCAAGAAGAGCCTCCAAGATGATTTTCAATGTGTGACAAGTGACTCTAGACTCCTCTCCAAAAAGTGTATCATATTCCTTATATAGGTAGGTCAAATACACCCTATGATGAGCTGTGGTCGTGCAAGGCATATTCTCCAATGATTGGGTGAAGGAAGGAATAAATGAGCTGGACTTTAACTTTTTCTCGCTGGAGAAAGTTCGATCGATCGAACCTTAACTTGGATCGATCAAAAATGGGTTCAATCGATCGAACTGAATCTTGGATCGATCGAAGTGGTCTGACTCCTCCGGATAAGGACAAGGCTAAGATATTTCGAAGATATTTATGGGGAAAAGGACAAAAGTGGTTGGTAGGCATACAGCTGTGGATAAGATCAATCATTTGAATAGGACAAAATAGGGTTCGATCGATCGAAGGTGATGTTGGATCGATCGAACTTGGAATTTCAGCAAAGGCCAAGGTTGGATCTATCGAGAAGTACTGTGATCGATCATAGATGTTCGATCGATCGAACTCTAATTTGGATCGATCGAACTTTTCAGCTGCACAACTTTGATTCCTTTTTGCTCCTTGCTTTCTCCACTTTGCTCCCTCCTTTGGTTTATCTCAGGATTACTTCAATTAAGCTCTTATTTGGCTGAGTTAGCTCAATTTTGGGATTAGTGCCTGAAAATATAAATAACACGTAATAAGTCTAAAACGGCAAAGTAAGATAGATAAAGGTACTAGAATGCTTAAGCTTAACGGGTTTAAATGCGCACTTTTCAGTGCTCATCAATACGCTGGACCACCATTTGGCATATGCTCTGGTAACTGAGGATTTTTGGTGGCTTAAGGTTGAAGGAAGCAACGCATCACAACCAGAAGAATAATGAACGGATGAGTTCTAATGTTTTAAAAATTCCTCTAAGGTGCAAGTACGAAAGTCATTTTTTAATTTTCCAGGAATATCTTGATGATACCCAAATTGTCGGCTAAATCTGTGTGGACTATACGGCTCAATGATAAGACGGTCATTTTGGCGCAATGTCAAATAACATGATCGAAGATTGTTTAGGGTGTTAAAGTTAGCCTTTGTCATCTCGCCATTATCTACAATAAGTCCCTCTTTTGAAGATCTTTTTGCCATTCGAGTTAAGTTTATTCCTTTACATGATTTGAATAAATTTTGGGCTTCAAAATGGTCAAAGTATCTTGCTCCTCCTTCGCCTGCATATAATGTCATTCTAGGCCAATAGTTGGTATTAGGAATGGTGAAATTAGTTCTGAAATATTCACTCAACCATCCGAATACATAATGAATAGGAAATATCGCAGAACAGCTTCTAGGATCTGGTGAGGAAACAATCTCGTTCAAGCCTCTGTAAATACTGGCCAGAACCGGGATGGAAAGACAAATGTTGCAGCCATCTGCTAACATGCTTGCGACCTTGAAAGTCCCAGGACGAATTATGTTGCCAGGGTGTGCAGGTAAGGCAAATTTGCAGAGCCAACATGCTAAAAAATCAGCTAGATAAGTGGTGTCTCTCGATGTTTCATCTACACCAAGGTTGATAAATACTTCTTTCTCTTTGGTGGACATCGACCGGACAGGAGGGATCATACCAGACGGATTTTGAGTCCTCATAGGGCGGTGAACTTTATTTTTTGTTGATTTCTTTAAAGGTTTGGCATGTCTTGATGCACCTTTAAACCAGAAATTAATCCAGTCAGATATCTTCACATTCTGATCTCCTTTATACTTCTTGGAAAGTCTGTGGAAGGCCAAAAATAGGTGTTGACAACTCAAAGGGATAGAATTTTTGTTGTTGCCAGCTCTTGATAGTTCATCTGCACAAGGAATAACTTCATCATAAATTGTTCCTTGGTGAGGGAGACCACCTAGCATATATAGATCTCGAAGAGAAATTGATAGCTCTCCAATAGAACAATGAAGTGTATTAGTGGCTGGGCACCAACATTCAAGGAATGCTTTGAATACATCTTCATGACGATCATAGGAAAATAGGGAGGCGAATAAAACACCATATAGTTGTTGTTTTGATAGAAAGTCGTGGAAACGCGCCAAGACATCTTCTAACCACTCCCAATATAGTTCGGTGTATAGCAATTCAGCAGGAAGTTTATAGGGAATACTCCATGATATTTCCTTCGCCTGAACATTAAGACCCAATAGTGAAAACTGGTTTTCTTCAACAACTCTCTCATGAAGTGAAGAATTTAGTATCAAGGCTTTAGAGACAATAGATTCTTCATTAATCTGATCAGGACCAAAGTCGATGAGTTCGCATGTGGCAGTGCATGTCCAATGAGATAAACAATGTTTATTGTTAGAATCAGGCACTTGAATAGCATTGCGACCAAAAAGTGAGTCATATACATTTAATGTCGTTCCTTGGACTCGTTGACTATTTTTGCTCTCTAAGATAGTCAGTTTTTTCTTTGCGAAACACTTGAACACCACCATGATGGATACCAAAGCTCAAATCGGTGTTGTCTAGAAGGAGGATTCAATTTCTGCTACGGTTGACACAAATCAAGTTGTTATACCTAATCAAGCCCTGCAAAGAAAAAAAAAAGGGGGTTAGAAAAAATAAATAAATAAAAAAATTTGCTCTAGTATGCGTAAAAAAAAAAAATCCAGCGTGCGTGGAGTGAAAAAAAAAAAAAAAAAAATGTTCTCCTACATGCGTGAAAAAAAAAAAAAAAAAAAAAATGGAGAAGAGAAGAGAAGAGAAAAAAAAAAAAAAAAAAAAAAAAAGAAGAAGAAGAAACACACGTATCAATTATTTGTGATCTGACAAGTCTTCAGAGATTTTTGGAATTGATATCAAACCCTACAATATTGAGGGTATATATAGGCAACAAGATACCTCCAAGTTGTATTGGGATTTGGACAGTTCAATTTAAATAGGAAAGTACAATTAAGATGGAAAGAAAAAAAAAAAACTTCAAGTCCCACTTGGAAAAAGAGACAAGTCTTGTCAAAATTGGGACTTGAAGTGGGGGCAATTTGTAGACACTAAAATTTAGTGGGTTTTGGTTTTAACGAATGGACCCATTAAATATAGGCCTAATGTTTAAATAAATTATTTAATTTACCAGGCTTGGTCCACTTAAATTATTTAATTAGCCCAGCCCAGATAATTAAATGAAACGATAATTATTCCTAATAAAATATATTTTGAATAATTATCTTTAAGGACAATTATCACAATATAACCGGCCCGGCCCAGTTATAGTTTTTTTCCTTATCAGGAGATGACACGTGTCATCATTCTATTAATCCAAGAAGCCTATAAATAGAGGCTTGGAGGAAGAAAAAGGGGAGAGGATTCAGAATTCAGAAGTCTACAAATTCAGACACAAATTCAGAATTCAGAAGTTCAGAGACTCAGAAATCCAAAGATTCAGAATTCAGACACAAATTCAGAATCGAAACCCAAAAGTGAAGAACATTAAGCACATCCAATAATGTGCCGTTCTTCATCAAATTTCACAGTGATTCAAGAACAAGCTCGTGCAGCCCTTGGATCCAACCAACCAAAAATAAGGAGATCGAATCAGAGGACCATTCTTTTTTTGTAAAAGATATTACAAAGGACTGTACTCCACATTCATAAATTAATAAAATTCTATTTTGCTCCATATTTTGTTTCTATTGCAAATTTACAAAATTTGTGTGTACAAACCTACGTATTAAACGCGATTACCATCGGAGGTCACGAATTTAAAATAATCTTGTAACGTGACTTTATTAATTTATGTACGATTTTGGTGGTATCAACACTCAACACTTGCTCCTTCCCTTCTCTTTTACTTTTTTTATTTTAAAGGAAAAATCTAATTTAAATGTTACAACATAATATGTTCATAGTTTAGAAAAGTAATTATTCAACACAATGGGACCCACAAAAATACAACATTATGGGTTGAATACTTAAATATAATAATGTCATAAGCATGTCCAACATCCAAGTCCTAGCCGGATCAGAGTGTTGTTATTCACCGATCCGAAGAAGTTATACTCTTTTATGTTAGCCGCCAATTTTAGAACCTTCAAATCAAGTAACCAAGTCTCAAGCCACCACCACCTTCATCAACTGAATCATCAATGCACCTTGATTTACATTCATGTGCCCGTTTACTACAATCCTGCAACACCCACCATTGTATTCGACAAGGGAGACAACTCCACCTCCTATTTCTCAAAAGGGGTGTCCTAGATTCTGTCGTTACAATCGGAAACCGCCTCCTACAAATGTATGCGAGGTGTGGCAACATGAGCGATGCACTGAAACTGTTTGATGATATGACCCAAAGAAATAGTTTTACTTGGAACACGATGATTGAAGGTTACATGAAATCCGGAAACAAGGACGTGTCTTTGGAGTTATTCAATTTCATGCCGCACAAGAATGAATTCTCGTGGAATGTAGTCATTTCGGGGTTCTCGAAGGCCGGTGAGTTGGAGGTTGCTCGGGGCTTGTTCAATGAGATGCCGAGGAAAAATGGGATTGCATGGAATTCAATTATTCATGGGTATGCGAGCAATGGGCATCCAAGAGAAGCTGTGAGGCTGTTTAAGAGTTTGAATTTTGATCCGTATGAATTATCTTGTGCAGATACATTTGTATTGGCGACAGTTGCTGGTGCTTGTGCTGATTTGGGGGCTCTTGATTGGGGGAAGCAAATTCATGGTCGCATCATTACTGTTGAAGTGGGATTTGACTCGGTCTTGGGAAGTTCACTTGTTAACATGTATGGTAAATGCGGTGATCTGGATAGTGCTAACCATGTGTTAAATATGATGCAAGAACCAGATGACTTCTCTTTATCAGCCTTGATATCAGGATATGCAAATTGTGGCAGAATGAGTGATGCAAGAAGAATTTTTGATTTTGTAAGTAATCCATGTGTTGTGTTATGGAACTCCATAATTTCCAGTTACACTGCCAATGACGGAGCAAATGAGGCATTACTTTTGTTCAATAAGATGCAGAAAAATGGAGTTCCGGCAGATGCTTCAACTTTTGCCAGTGTCTTTAGCGCCTGCACTAGCTTAGGGATTTTTGAGAATGTTAAGAAAATGCATGCTTTTACTTTTAAAGTTGGGGTTTTTGATGACCTCATTGTTGCTAGTGCTCTTGTTGATACATATTCCAAGTGTGAAAGCCCTTATGAGGCTTGCAAATTATTTGACGAGCTTGAAGTGTATGACACAGTTTTGCTCAATTGTATGATCACTGTGTACTCTAATTGTGGTAGAATTGAAGATGCGAAAAGGATCTTTGAGACTATGCCAACTAAAAGCTTGATCTCTTGGAATTCAATGATAGTTGGTTTCAGTCAAAATGGTTGTCCAATTGATGCACTAGATATTTTCTGCAAGATGAACAAGACAGGATTGGGCATGGACAAATTTGGCCTGGCCAGTGTGATCAGTGCTTGTGCTAGCATTTCTTCACTTGAACTTGGCGAACAGGTATTTGCTCGAGCCATTGGCATCGGCCTGGAACTTGATCAGATCATTTGTACCTCTCTTATTGATTTTTACTGTAAGTGTGGATTTGTTCATAATGGACGCAAACTGTTTGACCAAATGATAAAATCTGATGAAGTTTCGTGGAATTCTATGTTAATGGGCTATGCTACAAATGGTTTTGGTTTTGAAGCACTAAGTCTGTTCAATGAAATGATTTCTGCTGGTGTTGGTCCTACTGGTATCACATTTACAGGGGTTTTATCAGCCTGTGACCATTGTGGACTGGTTGAAGAGGGAAAGAAATGGTTTTAT